GCTACAGATCTCTATTACTGCCCTAGCTATTTGACTATTACCTGCCTACCACTATTGTGTAACAATGTCGAAAACAGATCTCTCCTCCTCTTCTACATCTCCCTCTGCTGCTGCTGGTCAGACTTCTACGCCCAAGGTAGTCTTGGGGACTACAATAAAATTGAATGGTAAAAACTATCTGCTCTGGCTTTTCACATTTTCATTAGCGCTCAGAGCAAACTTCCACGTCTTTTGGCCTCTCCTCCACCCACCACAGATCCCACCTACAGTTCCTGACTCTCGTCTGATTATTGTGTTATGACGTGGCTCCTCAACAGCACGGAACCACAGATTAGTAGCAGTGTTATGTTCTTAACCACTGCGAAGGAGATGTGGGACTGCCTGAAGATTATGTACGGGAATGAGAAGAATGTTTCCCGTGTATTTGAGATTTATGAGCGACTGTTTGCGCTCAAACAGGGAGATAGGTCAGTTCCGGATTTCTTTGGTGAGTTAAAAGGACTGATAGACGAACTGGAGATGCATCAGCCTGCATTAGCTGATGCGGCGACGTTGTTGGGATATCACCGTGACTTGGCAGTGTCCAAGTTTCTTTCTGGAGTGCATCCTACCTTACAGTCCCAGGTGAGAAGACAGATATTGGGTGGAGATATCATCCCTTCATTGACTGCTACATTCTCCAGAATCATGCAGGTATTTACTGGTGTTTCTTCTGATACTTCTGCACCGCCTCCACCTTCAGTGGATCAGTCTGCTATGTTCTCTAGTAGAGGCAAAGGCTACGGTCGTGGTCGTGATCGTGGTCGTGATTCTGTGGGAGGATGTTACTCTTTTAGTGGGAGACATCATGACTCTGATAGGGGTTCACGTCAGTGTGGTCACTATGGGAGGACCAATCATATTTCTAAAAAGTATTGGGAGAAGTTTGGCCGTCCTCAATGGGCCCAAGTAGCCGATGCCGTGTGCTCGCTCACCTATTTCTACTACTACTTTTAACAATCCAACTGCTACTGTTCCTACTGTTCAGATCTCTTAGGCAGATTATGAGAGGTTATGCCAGCTAGAGCTCTCTCAAAACAGTCATTCGGCTACTCATGCATCCTCTTCAGGTATAAATGCTTACATAGCTTCTCCTCATGAACCATGGTTACTAGATTCTGGAACCTCATCCCATATGACAGGTATAAAGAATCGTTTTGTTTCTTTACATCTTTCTGATAAGTTTTCCTCTATTCGCATCGCTGATGGTACACTTTCTCTAGTTTTTGGTGCTGGAGTAGTTCATGCTACTTCCTCTTTGAAACTCACTGATGTGTTATATGCTCCTAAATTCTCTGTTAGCTTATTATCCATTAGCAATTTTACAAGACAATAACTGTAAAGTCACATTCTTTCCTTCTTATTGTGTTTTTCAGGACCTAACAACTAGGATGACGATTGGTTCGGGGCATGAGAGAGGAGGTATGTACTATTTGGATGACAGTATACCGAGTGCTGGTCTAGTTGCAGCACAGCCTGATTCTACCTTACTGTGACACTGGCGTCTGGGTCATCATTCACTACAGAAACTTAGATCGGTAGTTACTGTTCAGTCTTCTCTTTCTTCTTTAGGTTGTGAGTCATGTGAACTGGGTAAGCACCATCGTGCTTCTTTTTAGAATCGTGTCGATAAACGCAATAGTTTTACGTTTGAGTTAGTTCATTCTGATGTTTGGGGTCCTTGTCGTGTTCCCTCTATGAAGGGTTTTCGATATTTCATTGTTTTTGTTAATGATTTCTCTCACATGACTTGGCTACATTTGTTGAAAGAGAGGTCTGAAGTCTCACATGTTACTGAACTTTTTTATAATAAAATAAAAACTCAGTTCTCTACTTCTGTTCATATTCTTCGTACTGATAATGCTTTGGAATATATGAAAAATGTTGTTTCAAAATTTTATGCTCTTAATGGTATTATTCATCAAATTTCATGCTCTCACACTTCACAACAAAATGGAGTTGCTGAGAGGAAGCATAGACATATTCTCGATGTTGCCTCACACTTCACAACAAAATGGAGTTGCTGAGAGGAAGCATAGACATATTCTCGATGTTGCTAGAACACTGATGATACATAAGACATATTCTCGATGTTGCTAGAACACTGATGATACATATGAATATTCCAAAGTACTTGTGGTCTGATGATGTCCTCACTGCCTGTTATTTGATTAATCGAATGTCTTCCTCTGTTCTTAATGGTTTGATATCATTCCACTGTCTTTATCCTGCTAAAAAATATTTTTCTGTGATTCCTCGAGTTTTTGGTTATACGTGTTTTGTTCAGGATTTGACTGTTGGTTTGGATAAATTGTCTCCTAGGTCCATTGTGTGTTTGTTGGATACTCACGTACTCAAAAAAGATATAGGTGCTATCATCCGACCACCAGGGGATATTTTGTTTCTGCTGATGTTACCTTCTTTGAGTCTGTCCCATATTTTTCCTCTGGTTCCATCACCTCTGTCAGTCCACAGGTACCACTACCTTCTACGGCTCCCATTACTATTCCGGTATCTGCTCCTGTGGCCACTGTACCAAAGCCTCTACTGACATACTATCGTCGTCCTAAAGTACATATACCTGTCTCTGCTCCTACTGACTCTTCTTCTCCAGCTGCAGGTCATCTCATGTCGAGCCTCATATCTCTTCTGAATTAGATGTTCTTATTTCTCTTCGTAAAGGTAAACGGTCTTACCCAAAATATCCTATTTTTTTATCTCTTATGATCGTCTCACCCCATTTTTTCGTCAGTTTGCTTTGTCCTTGTCCACTATATTTTTATCCATGTCACATGAGGAAGCTTTGTTAGTACCCGCCTGGAAACAAACTATGGATGAGATGAATACACTGCTTTCTAGAGGGACTTGACATTTGGTCTCTCTACCTACTGGAGTGACTGTGGTTGGCTGCAGATGAGTGTATACCTTGAAATATCGTCCTAATGGGTTTGTTGATAGATATAAAGCTCGCTTGGTAGCTAAAAGATATACCCAGACATATGGTATTGACTATTTTGAGACTTTTCTCATGTTGCGCGTCTCAACTCCATTCGAATTCTCTTCTCTCTGGCTGTTAATCTGGATTGAAAGATGCATCAACTAGATGTGAATAATGCTTTTCTTTATGGTGATTTGGACGAGGAGGTTTATATGGAATAACCTCCTGGGTATGTTGCTCCGGGGGAGAATATTATCTGCAGACTGAGAAAGGTCATCTATGGGTTAAAACAGCGTCCTCGAGCTTGGTTTGATAAATTCAGCAAGGTTATTTCTAGTGTTGGTTTTCAACGCTGTCATTCTGATCACTCTGTCTTTCTTCGACGCACAACTGGTTTGGTTATTTTAGCCGTTTATGTTGATGATATTCTGCTCACTGAGAGTGACTCTGTTGCCTTAGTAGAGACTAAGGAGTATTTAAACCATCATTTTGTCACTAAGGACATGGGAAAGCCAAAATATTTTCTTGGGATTGAAGTTGCATATCAAAGGCATGACCGGTTGTTATCCCAAAAGAAGTATGTGCTAGATTTACTAGAAGAAACAGGTCTCTCGGGATGCAAACGTTCGAACACTCCAATGGAGGTAAATATTGATTTGTGACGTGATGATACCTCTCTACTGGATGATGTTGGACGATGCAAGACACTGATTGGTAAACTAATCTATTTGACAGTTACCAAACCTGATATTACCTTTATAGTGGGTGTACTGAGTAGGTTTATGCACAAACCTAGAGAAGTTCATTGGACAGCTGCTCTGAAGATTTTGACATATATCAAGAGTTGTCCTGATAAGAGATTGTTATATAAGAAGCATGGGCATACTCACATTTCTGCTTTCTCTGATGCTGGCTATGCAGGAGATATGGGAGATCGGAAGTCAACCTTAGGATTCTGTACTTTTATTGGAGGTAATCTTGTGACTTGGAGAAGCAAGAAATAAGATGTAGTATCACAGTCTAGTGCAGAGACCGAATCTAGAGCAATGACTCACACTGCTTGTGAGATGGTGTGGCTACGAAAGTTTATAACAGAACTTGGTTTTGTTCAACCTGGACCCATGCCTATGCATTGTGACAACCAATCTGTCATTTATATTGCACAGAATCCTGTATTTCATGAGAGGACAAAACATATTAAAGTTGACTACAATTTTGTCAGAGATGCTTGGGAGAAGAAGATAGTGTGTCTTATATTCACTCCATCCTCACAACAACTTGCTGATATTCTTACCAAGGCTACTTCTTCAAAGGTGTTTTCTACTATATGTGACAAGCTGGGCATGGTGGATATTTATGCTCCAGTTTGAGGGAGTGTTAGATTAAGCCTATTGGGTATTGGGTTAATGGGCTGTGACCTGTTAATCATACCCCTATTTGTATGACTATAGATATATATCTCTAGTATCTGAATAAATTAATTAAGTTAGGGTTTTTCTCTCTCAGTTATCTCTTTCTACAGTAAGAAAATGTTTTAAGTAAGAATGCTCTTCTATGTCCAAAGATTTCGACTTCAAGGTATGTCTACTCTTTGTTCAAATAGCACTAAATTAGAATATTTTAATTGTAATGAAATATTTTAGTAAGAATGTTCTCCTATGCCCTTGCCTACACCACAATGCAAATATGAATTTTTTGTGTTGCTTTATTCTCCTTTTTTTAATTTTTTGTATTGCTTTGTTTTGTTTTTTTTTAATTTTAATTTTAATTTTAAAATTTTTTTTTTGGGGGGGGGTGCAAAAAAGGGACGTGTAATACTCTTCCACATTAGGTTGTAGTATGCACTGTAAATTCCTTTGTTTAAAATTATAAACAAAAGACGCAAATGGTGTTAAAAGAAAAAACTAATCACATTAAGCTTATAGTACATACCAGGTTTAGCATGCAAAGAACAATTTCCTAACCATTAGAAGTTCGTAAAGAGAAATGCAGTAAATAAGTGTTAAGTTCTTTGTTTTATGTTCAACAGAATAATAGTAGTGGAGCTATTCTTTTGGGAATAGGTTATTTTGTTTCAGTTTTTTTGGGAGAAGCCCATGAGCTTAGGAATTTTGTTAATCATGGGTTAGTTGTTGCTTATTTTCAGTTGCCAGTTTGTTTTCTGCTACGTTATTTATTTAAGCATTTAGTTAATAAAATATGTCGCAAGTTTTCCATATTATTTGTCTATTTTAAACTCAGTTTTACCAGTGGTATCAGAGCTTGAAAAGAGTGACCTGTGGGTAAAAGGAGCAGTAGCTTCAATTTGTAGCTTGTAGCAACAAGTGTTCATGGCATCTGACAACAAAAAATTTATGCAACCTGCCATTCCTCGCTTTGATGGTCATTATGACCATTGGAGCATGTTGATGGAAAATTTTCTGCGTTCCAAGGAGTATTGAAGCATCGTGGAGATTGGCTTTAGTGAACCGGCTAGTGATGTGGTGTTGACTGAAGCTCAATAGAAGAGTTTGGATGAACAGAGACTTAAGGATCCCAAAGCCAAAAATTATCTATTCAGGCAATAGATCGTGCCATATTGGAGACTATTCTTCAAAAAAGTACTTCCAAACAGATTTGGGATTCAATGAAAAGAAAGTATGCAGGCACAACAAGGGTGAAATGACAACAACTTCAAGTTCTTCGCAAAGAGTTTGAAGTTCTTCATATGAAGGAGGGTGAGTCAGTAGATAAGTATTTTTCCAGGACATTAACCATTGTTAATAAGATGTGTATTTATGGTGGTCAATAGGATGATGTTGCTGTTATTGAAAAAATTCTACAGTCCATGTCTTCTAAATTTGCATATGTAGTTTGCTCTATTGAGGAGTTAAAGGACATTGATACACTATCCATTGATGAATTGCAAAGTTCATTACTGATACATGAGCAGAGAATGGCACCTCCTCCTACAGATGAACAAGCTTTGAAGGTGTCAACTCAATTCGATTCCTCCACTGGGAATGAATTCAGCAGAGGTTGTGGTAGGGGTCGAGGACAAGGCAGAGGACATGGCAGAAACATTAGTTCCAATGGCAGAGGGAGTGCACATGATAATGATCAACACTCCACCACTCATGATTCAACATTTGACAAGTCTCAGGTTGAGTGTTACAGGTGCCACAAGTATGGTCATTACAAGTCTGAGTGCACTACAAATTTGTATTCTGACAAGGGATATGAGAGAAGTCAAATTTTGTTGAGCGAGAAGAAGAAACTTTGTTGATGGCTTATCATGCTGAGGAGGATTCTCATTCAAATAAATGGTATTTGGACTCTGGTTGCAGCAATCATATTGAAGAATTACAGGAAACAACATAGAAGAAGTCAGAAAGTCTGGCGGTCAACCGCCAACGTGCACGAAGCCTACCAGGATTCGGAGCAGGTGTCGGTCGACCGCCACCAGATGACTGTAAGCGATTTTTGCTCTCGGGACTGAGATTCG